TTCAAGTTTATCTCCGAATCCACATTTAAGAACATCACAGTGGAGTTCACCTTGGGAGAAGAGTACGAAGACACGTCACCAGATGGCAGAAAGACGAAGGTTAGTTTATAAGAATCTTAGGGACCCGTGGACCCTGACCATGTTTAGGAACGAGGTTTGGTGTCAAACGTTTCCTCGAAATCAAAGTTAACAGCTGGAAGTGAGCAAAGAAGAGCTAGTGACCAAATATTAAGAAATAAGATTTTCGTGACGGATAATTGGACTAGTACTGCGTCCCTTCATAATACACTCAATTATTCCAATACATACTGTCGGCTTCCCTTCCACCCTGAAAACAAATTATTTCTTAATCCATTCTCACTGAAATCTTTCAACAGAATGTCATCACTCTTAATGATGACAAATTGACCCAAATTGAGAAACCCCGTGACGGAAAAGGAAAACAGGTGACATACATAAGAGAGCTGACAGAAAGTGGAGATCTAAAAGTGGTAAGGATAATACTAAATCAAAAGTTTTAACAACTAAGACTTTAACAACTGAAAGTGTCTGTTTCCCCAGACGAAGAATAAACTTTCGAAAATAAAGTTAACTTGTTTATTCCGTTCAATGTTCTCCTCTGGGTAAAAAGAGGTTAGTTTTAGGACCTAGGTATTGCCAATAATACGATGATTATTTCAAATTACCGTGCTAATAAAATGAATGAAATCGGAAAAGCTTGCAAGCACTACCGGTATATGTTTGTTTTCATTCAATATCTGAGTAAAAGCAAATCTTTCCAACTGGTTCTTCCCAAGGCTGTACAAAAAGAGAGATCAAAGTCGACTTTTTGCACAGCTATCGATGGCAATACTAATAGGGCAGCAGTATAAGAGCTAAAACTGATATGCTATGTGAACAATGCCAACACTAACATGTAACGTCTTAAGTAATGCCACATAATTGTTTGCTAATGACAGTATTGTCCACCATGTTTCATTTCATTGCAGACTTGCAAACTTGACGATATTGTGGCAACACGCTTGTACAAGAGGATCTAACACACCAAAGATCAACCAATGCATGAACGCATCGACATCTCCAAACTCCCAAAGATCCCAGACAGCAATGACAAGAAGATTTTTCAAAAAGCAATGACAAGCAGATTTTTTAGAGGCTAACGCATAAAATTGGGGAGTGCACAAGAATTTAAAATGTAAAACTTAATATCAGCAGACGTATTCTGAATGTACATTCATCTATAGACATATTCCTCCCTCGAAATTGAAGTAGCTTCAAAATCCATTCTTTAACCCCGTTGTTATTGGTCTCGAATAATGTCTTGACGCATAACCTCTTCACAATAGCTGTCCGTAGCATAAAACATGCACAAGTTCTTGATAGAAACAAATTCAATGTGTGGAAACCAAACACAAGAGCTAATTCTTTAAAACAAGCCACTCTGTTAATGTCTATCTGTTTTCATTTCGATGATTCAAGTATTACCGCCTTTGCAGTGTAAACTACAATCACAACGGAACTGATTTCCCTGTGGAATCGTAATGAAACACTCATTTGATCGTCACCTTATACCAAAAACGTACATGTATGGAGAAATCCGACCAACAGATTTAGAAACCATTACTACGGGGCCATCTTGTTAGCATGCAGGCAGGTGGTGCGCAAGCGTGAAATTCCTCCTTGACCAATAGGCAATAGTCAATTGCCGAAGGGCGCGCGTGCGCTCAGGTTGAGACAGCTACGTGAGTGTAAATGGCCCCTCGGAAAGGCGTCTCATCGGATTTGTTCATACTTGAAGTACTTCCCTGCTGAAGAGACGACTCAGAATAGCAAGCCCAATTAACGAAAATGGCAGGGTGGTCTGAGCAGTTTTTAAAAAGAACAGTATTTTCAGTCATTAGCATCAGAAATTTATAGCATCTCATCGTTTTTAAACAAGGTATTCGAACTTTTCCCGAATTTTTAACTGTCTATATTCTAGTCAATAAACTACCTTTAATTAAACTGTATTCACCAGATCGAGTTATGAGTTTTAACCCAATTGTTCACTAGTTTTGGCATGTCAGGGGTTTCATGTTGTAATTTTTCAAGGTTTGGAAACGAAAATAAAAATCGAAAAAAGTATATATGAAATCTCTAGGACCTTTACAATACGGCCAATTCACAATAGAGAAGTATCTTGTAAAAAATGGTACATGAGAAAAATTACCACAGAACTACGAGGATTAAAATGATCCATAACAGACGCCAACAAGTATGCATAAGTGCTATGAATGTGGAATATGGCATCTACAGGTACCCAAGTTAGAGTCAACTTTTCCTGGAATCAAGATGTAAAACAAAGCACAATTATAACATATACCCCAAGGGTCTGGATAGCATTTAGATCACTCTAGTAACGGTTCAAGTGCTAACAGAAACAGTGCGTTGAGTGATGTAGAAAGGACCCCCCCACTCTTAGTATTTATACCGTATGTCTTCACATTCTAGGATATGGTATGTTCCTTCAACAGGTGAGTAGCTATAGTAGGCTATTTGTCCGAGTATGACCGACTATCATATATGTCAGTACACATCATCGAAGGGATTCTGGCACGCCCACTCGGGCAAACCTGCAGTTGCCTGCATGACACTGTAACCACAACCTAGCCTTTCGTCAAGGCCTTCGTGGCTGTGTGTGTTTAACTGCAAAGCGACTGGACCGGAGACCACATGCACAAGTGGCGCAGCCAAGAGGCCTTTTCCAACTTGTCAGGAATTTCTTATTTTTTTCTTTATGTTCTCAATTTGGCTACGTGTTGGGGTAGCAAAAATCCCAACCAATCATAAGCGAGGGGGGTCAGCACACATTAACCTATTTTGTAAATTGAAAGTATACAAAAGATGGCGAGCGTGTCAAGTGTGTCGGCGGCCGTGAGTGCAGGTCAATTGTCTGAGCAGTATTTGGACAGTTCTTTAGAATATGCTGCTGGAAAACTTCAACTTGCCGAGTTTAAACCGTTGCTGCGTCAGGCTATTGGAGCATATGTACGCGGGCGTGATGTTTTCGTCTTTTTACCCACAGGATATGGTAAAAGCTCCATATTTCAAGCACTGCCGTTTTGCTTTGACTGGCTTCGATGACCACTGCCTGAGAGTGAGACTGTGGCTGAGCTTAGGCCTTCACGCACTGCTGGTGCTGCTCCAACTTCAGCACCAGTATCCCCCGCCATGCCCAAAACAAGCATCATACATGTTATCTCAACATTTCCATTTCGTCTGTGACATAAACTCAACTCTTTTGGCCCTTATTAACAAATGGACGAAACAAGAAGACATTTGCGTTGCGATTGGTTAACATTTTACATGAAATTTATGAATAATACATATCAATAAGCTTATGAATAATTCACCACAAAAAACAGAAAAGACCTCGTGGCTGCGCCACCCTCCTGGTCTCCTGTCCAGTCGCTTTGCACGCAGTTACACATACACACAGCCACGAAGGCCTTGACGAAAGGCTAACCACAACCTACACAGATTCCAACTGTGTGTCATACACATGGCAGCTAGTGTGTGTTAGTGACCTCATGGGGCATTGATGCTTGGTTAGCAAAGGGTTTATTCCTTTTAAGTGTAGCTAGTATGATTTTTTTTTCAGATGCAATTTCTCTGAAACTTTGTTCTCTTCTTACACGTATGAAAACTTTTACATTTCGATCTGGTTGAATACACTGAAAAAGGTACTTTTGAAAGTTTTTATACTATCAACGCTTTCCCAGACAGATGAGGGCGCTGTTGCTGTGATGTCAGGGAAGACATAGTTCAGTGCATAGGTTTTCTTATGTTGAAATTGCAAACCGAGAATTTACTCATTGAGATCGTTTGTGATGCTTATTGCTTTTTATATACGGCCGCAAGGTCAAGAAACTCTTGGGAAACGAGAGCCGTATTATCATGACATCATTAATCGCTAGATTTGTTTGCTGCCCCCATCGATGCATTTTTTGGCGAAGCTGAATTCCCCCAAACGATAATTTTTTTTAATGCGAAGAGAAGCTGCCACGTTAGTCATTATGTGGCTAATAATAACCAATTCCCTATTTAATAACCTTTTTGCATAAAAGCAGTGTGACTGATCTTTAATTGAAAAAGTTATCAATAAAACTATCGCTGACACCAAGTGATAATAGACGTGCAACGACTGTTTGCCTTCCCAAAAAGTTAACTTAATAGCCAATCTGATAAAGATTTACAAATGACCCGTTGTCAGGGTAACGTGGTCAATAACATGTCTCAAGTTTCCGTATGTTTCACTTAGTATAACGAGCAGTCACTTATGATAAATTTATTTCTGGATTATTATTCAAAATTTAGTCGCAAACTCATACTTTGTACAGTGTACAGTTACGCTTCTACATCAACTGAAATTTCTTAAAACCACGGTGTCAAAGTTCAGTGCACTCTTTTGGTTGTCTGATCTTCACTACGCCTTAAAATTGCTCAAATGCAGACTGATTGTTCAAGACAAGTAGAGCCTTTCCAATTTAAAGACGATAAATAAAAGCTTCCTCATTTTATATGTAGAAGAAATAGGACATTTCCACCACCATGATCAGCACAATTGCAGACATTTACCCGACTGATCATTACTTCAATTAACATTTGGTTGGGAAAAAATTATACTAAACATTAATGTTTACCTAGACGGGTAAACGAGGGCAATGATATCAAAGGGCAAGAAACCGATGTGGCTACTGAGAAGATATACTGATTAAAGGCACTGTAAAATCTAAAGTTCAGTGCTGACTACTCCATTGTTCAAGGTTTATCTTGGCAAAGGCTGCTCACACTTAATGGAAATATCGCGGAGACAAGAGGTGTCTCACTTCAAAATTATCTGGTTATGTGACTTGGACTTCAGCATTAAGCAAACGTAGCCTTTACTCCGCAATAAAATATGCATTCCCACGCATGCGTTTAAGTACCGCGCTCAGATCAGTGAACTATTTTCCATCCACGCATGCGCAACCCAAAACAGGTGCCTTAGTTCGATATTACGCTTGTAACTGATTTGTCCGTTATCAGGGTGTGTATAATGTTGATGAGCGATGGTGCCACGGTTGCAAAGCCGGATTTAAGCAGACAGAATCTCACCGGGCTATAACAGACCAGCGCATAGCACGGTTTCAGGGGGATATCGCTCGCGTCAGTGCACCTTTTCGATTGACTCAAACAAACTGATTGCAGTTGAGGTATCGTCTTCATATTTAAAGACTTGACATAGCAACTGTTTACTTCCAACTATGGCTCAATTCAGTGGCAAATACAAGTTGGATAACAGTGAAAATTTCGAGCAGTTTATGCAAGCTCTAGGTAAGTTTTACTAGTTAGGCCTAGTTAGGCGATTGGAAGCAATCGCATAAAACTGATGTATTGTGAGGTTTTGATATAGATGGAACGTCTAAGTTCACAGTGCAATCCGACATGCAATATGCAATCATGCGTTTCATGAAAGCGTCAATTAGCGACGATGTGGTCGACAAGCCTCATAAACATTACTGACAGAGCATACATAATTTTG